CCGAGGGCAATAATTATCCCAGTGCAGAGCCCGGGCCTGTGTTTGCTTTTCTCCTCTCTGCCTGGAAGGGTTTGGTTTAGAGGCTGTGATTTCCCCTGGTGTTCAGCACCTCCTGCACCTCCTGCCCAGCACTGAGGATCAGAAGTGGGGGGAAGCAAAGAAAAACTCGGGGCACAGCATTATACAGAGATTACCTTCAGGTATTAAACTAATTATCAGGAAGCAGCGTTGGTCTCACAGGGGCTCTGCTCCAGCCCTGTGCAAGCTGCAGTCCCAAAGGCAGCACTGTTGCTGCCAGCCCCACGACTCCTCCACAGGTTTTTGGATGAAAATTGCTTTAAAAGCTCCAAGAGAAGCCATTTGGTTCTTCTAAGTGGTAAGAATGGAAAAGAAAAAGGAAAGAAGGAATGGGAACGCTTTTGTTCTTAGCTGCCACGTAAATGAAGTGCGACTTTGGAAAAAATAGAGAGCCCCTAGTGCTAACTTCAGGAGTAATTTCTTCCTTCAGAACCATAATAATAACAATGATAAATGATTAAAAAGCAAACAGCCTAAATCTATACGTTGAGTTAACTCAGGACTCCTTTTTGAGTTCAGGACTGTTGCTGGATAAATGCATGCTTATTTGGAAAAGGAACCTCCAGCTTCCTGTAAATGACGGGCAGAGAAGCAAGGCAGGGCCAGCCCACACACATGCAGCACAGCTGGGGGGAAATCCCGACAGATCAGGTTATTCAGGTTTTACCCCAGTTTGGGGAACACCACTCCTGGCTTCATGCCCGCCTGTTCCCACTGCAGCACCCCTGTCAGCCCAGCGTGCTGCTTCGGTGAAAGAGCAGAAAGTCTGCTGCCCACCCTGCGAGAGGTTTCCCAAAAAAAAGCAGCGGCCAAAATGAAGAAAACCTCCAAGGGAAGCGCTCCTGGCCGCAGCAATGAACGTGTTCTCCCTGCCGCGGGGGAGCTGCTCCCGAGCCGCGGCCGCCGTGCCCGCGGGCTGTGCCCAGCCCCGCAGCCGGCCGGAGATAAGGCTCGGGGAGGTGCCCCGCAGGGCTGGGCAGGCTGGGCAGGCTGGGCAGCTGTCCCGGCACGCTGCCGAGCACATGGAGCCCCAGCTTCCCGGGGTGTCCCAGCGCCCGCGGAGAGGGACGGCACGGCCGGGACACTGAGCGGTACGTGGGCTCGTCCCATCCCGGCGGGGAAATGTCTGCCAGGGCATGGCTGCAGTAATGCGCTGCTGCAGCGCTTGTCTTTTGACTTACTGGCGGGTTAGGGGGCTGCCTGGGGAAGGTTTTAGTTGTTCTTCCTTCTCGTGAGAGAAGGGGAGAGGAGGTGAAGGGGAAGCCCAGGCGCTGGCATCCTTTCGGTGGGGCGCAGCTGGGCTGGTGCCATGGGCTGAGCTAGTGATCTCCCTGTGTCAAGGGGAGCTGGGATGGGCTGGAATCACCTCTGTGCTGTGGGGGCCAGATCATCATGGCCACGGATGAATTTGAAGGGTGTTTGTTCACTCTGCAAACTGTGGGGCTCGTCCAAGGTCAAGCTGCTGCTCAGGGTATCCTCTGTTTTCTCCTGCACTGCTGGAAGGGTTGGTGTAGGGACCAAGTCTTGCTGCCCACACAGCACCAGCAGGGACAGAATTGCTCCCTTTAAAAAACTGATGGCATCATCTGGAATTTTGAGAAACCAGGCTTGATGGAATGGTAGGAGAGCACAAGGTACCAAGTGCTTTCTGGTAGAAAGCAGCAAAACACCCCAGATAACTGTGGGCTTGTGCCAGGGCCAGTTTTGCCATAAGATGCCCTCTCCAGCCATTTGGTGGATGCAGAAGCTGGCCAAACATTTTTATAAGCAAGAAAATTTATAAGCTCTCTAGCAAACAGCATCCTCCCTGAGCAACTCAGCAAAGTTTAGTCAGACTGATTCCTTTTGAGACTGAAAGTGGCACTGTAGCATCCTCCATTCCCCTGTGGTGGTAAACCCTGAACACAGGGTGGATGTGCACCCACCCTGCCAGTCCCTGCTCTGCACCCCTGCATTCAGTTGTGCAGGAAAACCCTGGCTTTTGGATGGGTGACTCAGTGGCTGTGGGCATCTGGCAGTCACCCTTTTTGGAGTCCCATCCCCACTCTGCACCAAAATGGTTTTGTTCACAGTCAGGGACCTGTTGGGAGAGAGAGGGACATGTGGGGCTCAAAAGCAGGGGAAAAAAAAAAAAAAAAAAAAAAAAAAAGGCAGAAGTTTGTGGGGAAGAGAAGTAAAGTTTTCCTGCAGCACTGAGGGAGAACAGGAACACTGGCTGGCGCATCCTGGAAGGAGTCCCTGGGCGGGCAGGGATCTGTTCCTCAGCAGCAGTGACTCAGCTCCGCCAAGCGGCGCTTCGGGCCAGAGCAGGCTTGGGTGGAGCTTTGCTTTACAGCACCGAGAGCCGCTTTAGCAATATTTGCCCAAGAACTTTCTTGTTCCTGGAATGTTTCTTGTTCCTGAAATGTTTTTTTTTAAGCAAATAAGTTTGAGGTTTATTAGACAAATAACTCCGTTTAACACCTATCACAATTCCGTCTTTTCTCCCTCTCCTGCCAGCAGCTCTCTGGCAGATGCCAGAGCACAGGTACCTTTTATTCTGGTGCAACTGTAGAAAGAAAAAAAAAAATTATCAATGCAAACAATTAAAAAATAATATAATAGAAATCCCAGGACAGGGCCACTCTCTTGTAATGCAATCAGGTTCTAGGAATTTCAGTACCCAGGAACTCCACCCGATAAATTTTATCTAGGATTAAGGTGAAGATAAATAGCCCAAAGAAATATATTACTTCCCCAAAGCACTGGCATTTATTGGTTTATTTTTCCATTTCTCTTCCTCTGCGATGAAATCAATATGTGCAAAGAATAAAAACACAACTTGGGTGAAGGGGAGGACTGTGCAGTGGGCCCCAGTGAGGCTGGAAGTGACTGGAAGGTTTTGCAAACCCAGTGGAGTTTTGCTGCACTGACTGTGTCCAAATCACACCCCAGCTCTGAATCCTCACCAGATCCAGGCTCTGCTCAGGGCACTTGTGGGGAAGACAACAAGCTCCCAAGGCAAACCAATACCAATTTTGAAGTCTTCACAACTTGCCAAGGGGGATTGTGAGAACTGGCCCCATTTTCCAACCCCGTCATCAGATCAGGCACTGGGATGGGGAGCCAGAAATGGGAAGAGGGTCCCTGTCTTTATAAACTTCATGCTGAAAGGAGCAAAAGGGAAGAGCCTTGTGCTGCCCCTCCAGATACAGCCACAGGCAAGGTTTGTCCTCGAAAACCTTTAAACTGTCCTTTTTCAGGTCTGTGAATCTTATAGCAGCTCAGTGAAATGGGCTTGCTCATAGCAGCTCTGACACAAGCTTTAAAATCCATTTCAGAGTAACTGTGCTGAGGGCTGGGGTGTGAGGAAGGGCTTGTGGCATCACAGACCCCCCTGCCAGCTCCCGTGGGGACAGACTCCTGCTCACAGCCAGCCTTCCTCTGAGGGGATAGCAGCAGAGAGAGGGAGATGCTGCTGGGAAGCCAGTGTGCTCAGCTGATACACAAACAAAAACACTTTGTCTCGGAACATGGGGCACACAGATGCCTCCCAAGGCTTCCCCTAAAATGCAGATGGGCCAGTCTCCCATGGGAAGCTGGTAGCTCCGTGCTGGAGCAGCTTTGGCAGACTGTCCTTGCTGCAGTGTCACAGCGGGTGTGGGGACAGCAGAGGGGTCTCATGGGGAGGAGTGCCAGTGCTCCAGAAAGCTCAGCTGAAACTGATGGGGCTGCCTAAAAACCCCAGAGAGTGATGCTGCAACCCAGCCCTGGGTGTAGGGGAAGCCCCAGGGAGCCTCTCCTCGGGGCACTGAGGGGGGACACAGCTCCATCCAGCCCAGGGTCAAGAACACAGCCAGCCCTGGGAGGGGACCCACAGCAGGGCTGGGCAGGAGGAAAAGCTCTTCTCTCCTTCCTCATGACGCAGCAGCATGAAATCAACATTCAGCCCAGCCCTGCTACAGCCCGCTGCTCCTTATTTACCCTTCAAACAGGAAAAGCAACTCTCAGCACAGCTCGTTGACAAATTTTCTGTCAAACATTACTGAAGGGCTGCTTTAGTTGCCATTAGGCTCATGAACTCTCAGCACCCATCTCACAAGTGACAATTCACCACAGGGCTCCAGCGTGGTCGCCAGGACAGAGGTTCAACAGACTGCAGCCCCAAATCCCAAAGGTAGGAGTGGTCCCAGCCCCTGGGGGTGCCAGCAGTGGGGTGGCAGTGCCTGTCCCGTCGGTCAGGGTGGCAGTGGGACAGAGGGCAGCAGGTGGACTCTCCCGGGTAGGAAGTAGTTCATGCTCCAAATTACAACCACTCCCTGTCCACTCCTGGGGTGAAGACGCTCCAGGATTTGGCCAGGTGGAAATATTCCTGAGTTTAAGTCAGGTGTCCACAAAGCTGGCTGCTCTCCTCGGTGCAGTGGTGCTGCCCTTCCTCCCTTCTCCTTTGGATTTTAAGGAAGACAGGCTTGTTCCTAGAGACTCCCCTGACTGGCAAGGCCAGATCACAGCTTGTCCTCAGACAGCATTTTGCAGTGCCTAATATTTGAAATCTACCTTGCATCATCCCAGAAGAAAATGCAGCACAGCTGTGATTGAAAGTGTTCTCACTGCTACCAGCAGAAGAGAAAAGGCTGGTCCATGGCTGAGAGCAGGGCATGAGCAAGGAGCACCAGGGGCAGCAGACAGGGGCAGGGTTCCGAGCTCCAGAAGGAAGCGAGCTCGGGCAGTCAGGGAGGACTTAATCAGGGTGGGACCTTCTGCCTGGTAAGAATTTGTATATCTTTGATGACGTCCTCACCATTGCAAATGTGACTGAACATAGCAATTATCTTCTCATCTAGGATCTGCCTGGCTTTGGTGGGTTACAGGCACTCTTCAAGGCATTGCCTTCTTTCCTCAGGGTGACGTGTGACTGTCAGTCCTCCCAGCTGTGCTCTCTGCCCACCACCATGCGGGTAACAAGTAAGGAGAGACACATATTTGCTTTTCTCTGTTTTTCTATGGTTCTTTATGCCTTCTTCTCATTTACACGATGCCTTCCCAGCCCAGCAACCCTGCCCTTCCCCTGCCAGGGACATGGGAAGGGGCTTTGTATAAGCATCAGGTTTTTACAAGATTTGTGTCGATTTCAGCCTGTTGTATTTTTCCCAGTGAAACCTTCTGTGACTGGGAAGAGATGGCTATTGAGACGTTCCTGGTTCCATAAGAGCCATTCAGCTGCAATAAAAGTACATTTTTCTGCTCTCTTTCCATGCAGGACTGGAACGTTTTGCTCTGATGAGCGCTGCTTTAAAGCCAAATGCCAATCACAGTTGTATCAGCAGCTGCTCGGCTGTAGCTAGTGACTAATTGGGGGATAGCAGCCTTCCCAGCACTGGGAACATAAGAAATATTTGGATTTACATAGCTTTCTGAGTAATTATCAGATTTACTTTAACACAGAGAGAAATATGAATAGTGCCTCCCAGCAGAATGCCTATCTGGGCATCACCACATACTCTGGAGATGGTAATTAAGAGATCAGAATCCATTTGGAGGGTGAGGGATTGTTAGCTGCCATCCCACACCATGCAAGCACTGGCTGTCAGTGCCTGGTGACCTGGGACACAGATCCCAGTGAAGCAGAGGGATGCTGCAGGGCTGCTCTCACCCCGTCCCTCTCGCAGGTGTGATCCGCTCCGTGGTGCTGCTCCTCACCCTGCTGGGCACGTGGTTCATCATGCAGACGTACTTCCAGCACAGCTGGAAAGCCATCAGCCTGCGGAGCTGGCTCGGTGAGGCACCAAGGGCTCCGCAGGGAGGGTGGGAGAGGTTCCAGGGTGAGCCAGCCCCCAGAGCTGGGTACAGCTGCCCTGACCGCTGGTATCTGCAGTCTCTGGCCGAGGCTTTAGCCACCAGCTCTGACCACTGGGGCAGGGAGGGGACAGTGTGCTGCGGTGGGAAGCTGCACTGGGATGGGTGGGTCCAGGGATGCCTGCAGCCAGGGGAAGCAGTTTCAGGGAGCGGGTGCTTGAACAGCTGCTGCTGGCTCGGGGAAGAGCCAGCAGCTCTCCAGGGTGTCTAATCCTCCTGCTTGATACCCACAGGTGCCACGAAGAAGCCCAGCAGTGAGTATTGCTCTCGACTTCATCACACAGCTCCCCTTCAGGGTTCAGGGGGATGGTGGAAGCATGGGATCTCCTTCAAGAGCCCCTTCCCTGAGGCAAAAATCCCCCTCTCCCAAACACGGGGGATTTTGTTACTGCACACAGCAGTGGGGTTTTTGGCAGGCCTCTGCCTTGGCCAAGAATGGGGAAACTGTGGGCAGAAAAGCCCCAAGGGTCTTGCCTTGGACAGCAGCTCCAAATGCCCCGGGCACACAGCATGTGTCACACCTGGAGCAGCCCTGGCCTTGGCACCATAAACCTCAAACAAGAAGCTGGTCCCAGTCCCAGGACAAACCTCCTTCATGGGATAAATTGGTCCAGGTGTTGCCCCCTTAGTGGGCCACTGTGTCCCGGTCCAGCCCCGCTCAGCCCCTCCGGGACACGGCCAGTGTCTCCCCATGGGGACAGAGCCGTGCCCTTCAGCTCCACTCCTCCCTCACAGGCGAGAAGCTGCCCCGGCACAAGTGTGGGAACCAGAAGAGCTGCCCCCAGAATTATTTTGCCTTCAAGATCATCAGTGGTGCTGCAAATGTGGTGGGACCCTCGATCTGCTTTGAAGACTTGGTGTAAGCAGCACATGGCAGGGACAAGGCAGCTGTGGCTGGCCTGGCCTCCAAGAGGGCAAGTTTGGCTTCTGCCAAGCACACCAATGGCCATCACAGTGTATTTGTGGCTTAAAAAATTTTAAATAGATTTCTTTGCTACCACTTCTGGTTTTTTTGCCATCTACAGCCACTTCACCCCACCACAGTTTCACTGGTGTCAGCATCTCCAGGGCATCCCTGCACTCACTGGTGCTCTCTGCTTTCCTTTCCAGCCTCATGAGCAGCGTGAAAAACAACATTGGCAGAGGCCTGAACATTGCACTGGTGAATGGTGAGTCAGAAGGCTCTGACCCCCTTCTCCCCACTGCCAGGGGTCCTTCCTTCCCCAGGAAAGCACAGGCCACTGAAAACCCCTTCCCAGGCACTGTGGCTGAGCCAAAAGCACATCCATCTGGGGTTGCATGGGGAGCACAGCCACAATTATGGTTGCAAGCACTGCCAGTGAGGAGGGAACAAACCCACCTGGGCTGTGCACAACCAGCTCCACAAACTCCTCCAAGCAACACAGTCACCATCGCAGCAGTCACACACACTGAGGGAAGAGAAAAGCATTTTGCTCATGGCCAGGCAAAGCCCAGAGACACCCCAATGCAAACTCACTGTGCTCTGTTTTCAATTTTAACCTTTCAGGAACAACTGGGAAGCTCCTGAAAACCGATGCCTTCGACATGTACTCTGGAGGTAAGCACATCACCCTGCTCCTTGGTGGTTCTCAGCCAGGGCTCACACCAGCACTGCTGGCTGCTTCAGCTGCTTCTCTGCCATGTATTTAATGATAAAGTCAAGTGGGCTTTGACCACACTTGCCAGTCTGGGTGGTAAAAGCCCAGCTTTCCCTGAGGCCATCAAGCCTGGAGTCCTCACAGTGCTCCCACATCCAACATTGGCTTCTCACTCTTTTTACAAGCATGTAATAGCCTGGAAAACATTATTTCACTCACCTGAATAAACCAAGGCACTTGAGACTTGAGAAAGGTACTTTCTGAGATCAGGCAGTTACACTAATCCTGCCACTTTGCAACCTGTAACTCAGTTTTTGCACACTGGTGGTGGCTGAGCAGCTGCTCATTCCCCTGCCTTTCACAGCAGGATAAATGAGGGAGCTCAGGGTGACAGGGCCGCCTCAGTCATTCCTTTGGTTTGCAACCTACTCTTGGTGACTCTGGTGTTAAGGAGAATCACAATATAATGAGATTTCCAGCCAAGTTTGTGAGTGAGATGCTCGGTGGGAGAGGCACTGGGAAGAAGGCAGCAGTCAGCTCATGTGCCACTAGATGGGGCATTGGATCCAAGCATCCCACAGATGCGGGATGAGGAGTAATTCCCCCAATACAGCAGAGGCACGACGGCAGGGAAGGCGGCTCTGTGGCCAGGCAGGTTTATTTCTTGTGTCGGGAGGTAAACTTACACAATTGGATTTCGGAGTTAGCAAGCCAAGTTTAGGAGAAATTTCCACCCTGGAGTTGTTCCAAAAGGAGCATGTTCAGTCCTGTGCACTGCAGGAGAGCCCAGGAGGGAACACAGCATGGGGAATGCATCGTTTGGGGGCCCACCATTCCCCCAAACCCTGGCTAGCACCTGCACAGTCAGGTCATTTCCCACCAACCCAGAGGAGGCTCCCCCAGCTACCATGCAGAAGTACCCACTAAATCCCCTTTTTCTCTCCCCAATGCTCTTCTCTCCCAGACGTTGCCAAGCTGCAGACCTTCCTCCAAGGGATCAAGCGTGGCACCCTCGTGCTGACAGCAAGCTACGACGATGCTGCCACAAAGTGAGTCTGCCCACGTAAGGAACACCAGGCTCCCAAAAACACTCAGCTGGGGGAGCTGGACATGCTGCTGCCTCCAACAGAGAGGGTGAAAGAGGGGACACCCAGCTGGCACCACAGTGACACCTCCTTACCCTCTTTCAGGATGAATGACAAAGTACGGGCATATTTCACAGAGCTGGGCAGCAGCCACGTGGGCAAGCTGGGCTTCCGGGACAACTGGGTCTTCTTGGGAGCAAAAGGGCTGATGAACAAGAGCCCCTTTGAAAAGGTACAGGGCCCTCCCCTGCCATGTGCTCTGCAGGCTCCATCCTCTTCATGGCACCTCCCCAGCTACACCTCACCCACCTCTGCAGAGGACAAGGACCAGTGGCATTATCCCCCACACCAAACCGAGCTGCAGCTTCTGCCACCTGGCAAACTTGCACTGTTCCAACCTCCTCATTCATCTTCTTTCTCTCTCTTTTTCCTGCAGCACATTAAAAATGATAAAGAGACAAATAAATACGAGGGCTGGCCTGAGCTGTTGGAGATGGAGGGCTGTGCCCCCAGGAAGATGGACTAGCATCAAACTCCAGCCTGCCATGGAGAGCAGCCTCACCAGTCCCACAGGGACACCAGCCCCATCGTGGGGACTGCAGCCTCTCCACTGACAGGTCACAGAGTCCAGCAGCTGCTGCCTGCTCTCAGGAACTGGTTGTTTCACAGCAGGAACTGTGCAGGGCTTGGAGAAGAGCTGTACAAGTGCCTGCAGAGCTGAGCAGACACGTGGCCAGGCTGCAGCCAAGACATCCTCATCTGTGGGTCAATTTTGGGTATTTTATTTTTCTATCTTTTAACTAGAAACTTTGTAGAAGGTTTTGTAAATTTCTTAAATTACATTTCTAATTATAAAACACTACCGTCTCCTTCCATTTTCAAGCATAATCAACACTTTCCCCCACAGGCACAGCATGCCAGGTCCTCTGCCACCAAGTGAGCATCACCACCCATCCCACAGCCCTGCACACAGGAGCTCCCCCTCCCCATGTGGTACAGGGAAAAGTCATCCCTGGGGATGCTCAGACTTTGGTGGTTCCCCTTGGAGCTCTTGCCAATGTCCTACAGTCTCCTACAGCCACAACAGGGCCAGAAGTCCACAGGGATAGCATGCAGCAGTGTAGGTTAATATTTGCAGACCAAAGTATCATTCCTGGGTGTTACAAACTGGTTTAAACCCAGAAGAGCAAAGAAAACTAAGTCTCTGTGTATAAAACTGAAAGAATTTTGAAGGTCCAAAATATTCCCAAAAATGAGATAAAAAACAAACAAGATTAAATCTTGATGCCAAAAAATTGATACATTTTGATTTAATAGTAAGAGACAAAGAGAAAGAAAGTGAGAAGTTGGGAAAAGTCAGAAAATAGTAAGGTTACTTTTAAAAGCACAGGATAGGTCACCACCTCACTGTGCTGCCTTGGTTGCTGCTCAGACAGGGTGGGGGGAGTGGAGCAGGTTTTGCCCTAGGGTTTTTTTTGCTGTTAGAACCATCTTATCTGCCTTTCCTGATCTCAGGAGCAGTTTGGCTGGGATGTGGCTGCCTGTCCTCGGGATGCAGGAGCTGTGCCTGGTCTGTGCAGCCAAGCCTTGGTCTGCTCGTGGTGCTCCCTCCCTGCCACAGGACACAGGAGCAGGGCAGGGGTTCCACAAATCACTCCTGGCTTCGGTCCAGGGCTGCAGGATCAGGGGTTTCTCCCCAAGCACTGTCAGCTCCTGGAGGCCTCAGGGTATCCCATAGCAAGCAGTGATGGTGTAGGCAGGGGAAGGGCAAAGGTCAGGGATTCTGTCCCCGCTTTCCCCTCCACGTTCTGCACGTTTTGCCTCCCTTTTTATGGGCCTCAAGGCAGGCTACTCACAGTCTATCCCACACATGGTTTTCAGGTGTTCAAGAGTGATTATAATAAGCAGACATAATGACAGAGCACTTTTTTGAAGCCATTCTCTTATTATCAGGTTCTTACACTGGGTTAAATCCAAGCGAAATCCTCTGTGGCACATCCCCATCAAAGGTCAGGATAATGCCAGGGTTGTGCCAACCTTGCTTTGCCCTCAGGGAGGGAGGGATGGAGGGAGGGAGGGATGGATGGATGGATGGATGGATGGATGGATGGATGGATGGATGGATGATGGATGTACAGGTTCCTTGGGCAGCTGAAGTTGTGCAGCACAGCCAATAGGTGGGAGCCTTTTACCGGCAGAGCTCTGGAGCGCTACAACGCGCCCGGGTCAGCCACACACCGGGAGCTGCAGCCCAGCCTGGGGCCAGCCGACACCACCGGGAGAGGACAGATCCCTGCCCGAAAGCGAGCAGGAAAGCCCCACAGCGCTCCTACGAGCAGTCCTGCGCTGCTGCCCAACACCGAGCCGGTCCTGCGGAGCATCTGCCCCCTGCTCCTGCCCAGATGCATCAGCCAAGCACGGTCTGCTCCCAGCCCCTCCCTGAGCCCCGGCACTGCTGGATCAGATCAGCTGCACGGGTGATGGCTGGGCTTATCTGTCATCAGAGACAGGAATGAATTTGCATCACGTACAGACTTTCATTTCCGACGATTGTATCTGGTTTTTCCCCATTCTCTGAAGCAGACCAGCAGTTTTGCAAAACATGAGGATGGAGTGTTTCTCCTGGAGCATTTGGAGCTGCATGTGAAGGATAACAGACTGTCCTGCACAGCCCTCTCTGCTTCCAGCAACCCCTGCACAGCTCCTAGCAGGCAGTTCACAGGGTTATGGGAGCAGAAGTGAGGAGCACAGGCAGGACAAGGCCAGGAAAGGACACAGCCTGTCCTGTGCTGGCCACCTGTAGAATGAAACCCCGGATCCAAAACTCAACACCACCAATCAACTGGTTTTCCCTAAACAAGGAAAAATCCCCACATAAACTGTGCAACACCTGCAAGAACTTCCAAAGGCAGAACTGAAATAAAACCCCAAAACAGCCATCACAGAGGAATCCCCGAAGAGGTGTAGTATTTCATCCCAGCTTATCCTCCCATGCTCTTAGCACACACCTGATGGCACTGAGGGAAACCTCTGCCATAAATCGATCCCTAAATCTGCTGCAACAACAGCGGTTAATCCCAAGTGCTGAATCATCCCTACCCGTGGCAGAGCAAGAAATAACACAACCAGCAGACACAACAGCCCTGCCAAGCTGCCAGCATAAATATGCCAAGTATTTTAAGCCCCTCAAAGGATCTAGATTCACTTATAAATCAAACAGCCCAAGAGCTGTAAAGGTGGCTCCACAGGGTAAACCAGAGCACAGCAGCAACTCCAGCCCCCAAAACAACCAGTCCCTTCAGCTGCAGGAAACTCTTCCTATCCCTTCACAATGCACATTAGAAATCTGGTTGAAAGCCAAAATAAAGGAAATTTATGTTTCAGCACACTACAGGCAGTTAAAACTAGCTCTGAATCCATCACAGAACAGTTACTAAGGTACATCACTATTTTCAAGAAATAGGGAGAGCTAAAAGTGCAATTCCTGTGTAGGGACCTTCAGTAGCAGCCAGTGTTTTGAAGAGCCATACCTGCCAAAGTACATGTGTCCTGATAAATTAATCAGTTTTTAAAATATCCAGACACTGAGAGGCAGGGAATAAATATGGATTCATGAGTCAAATTGAACTTGCTAATTTCTTTAAAAGGATCTGAAAAGGACAGTGGGTGCAGGGTCAGCAATCTCCAAATGAGGTTTTGCAGTGCCATGGCATTTTGAAAGCTGCATTACTGCAGGGACAGGCACCTACCTGGCTGCTCTGCACTGTGCCACATCCCCAGAGTCTTCACCAAACACAAGCCTGAGCTGCCCAGACTTCCAGGATGCAGCTTCAGGTAACCTGGACTCACCTGGGGTCACAGGAGGCACGGAGGCTGCAGCAGCAAACACGCAGCCTGGGGTGTTTGTGGGAGCAAAGTTTGCAAAATCCACTGCTGCAACAGGAGCCACGAGCCAGGATGCAGACAGGCAGCAGAGGGATAATCTTCCTTCATTTTTTGGGGTCCATTTGGGCAAAGGACCAAAGGAGTATCTAGGAAAGATGCCACAGGAAAGGACCTGCGGGTGCCGGGCCGCAGCTGGGCGAATCCGCATCCTGTGACATCTTGCCCTGTCAAGTGCAATTACTGTAATCTTCCACAGCCTCTCAAAATACGGATCCCGGCTTAGAAACCGGGCATCCACAGCATGAAAGCTGCCTTTGTGCCCGGGCAGAGCCTGGGTGCGAGCCAGCCGTTAGGTGCATGAAGAAAATGAGTTCTCCACGTGCTGGAAGAAGGGAGGAAAAGCAAGCTTTCCCACCCGAGCCCGCCACAGCCGGGCTGGATTTCACGCACGTCTCCCCACAGCAGGCGCGGAGGGGCCGGGAGCAGCGCGGGTGTCCCCGGCCGTGACGGGGCCGTGACCGCCGGGAGCCGCCGGTCCCGCCGCCCGCGGAGGGGAGCGCGGCCGGCACAGCCCACCATGGGCGCGTCCCACGGCAAAAAGGTAAAAAAGGCACCGGGGCGGTTCTGCCGAGGGCTGCGGCGGTGAGAGGGGATGGAGAAGGCGCCTCTGCTCACGCGGGGCTCGGTTTGCGCCCGCGTGCCGGGGGCAGCCAGGGATTAGAGGGACGGAGCCGCTCCTGGGTGCGGGTGCCGCTCGTCAGGGCCGGATTAGGTAATTCCATCTAATGGGCTCAGCCCCGGGGCCTGCCGGGGCTCTCAGGACAGCGAGGAGGGGATCAGAGCATTGCAAGAGTGGCTTTAAGACAGACAAAGTTTGGTTCTCTGGGGATAAATGTCAGATTTGTTCTGAATGCCTGCAGCAGCCTCTGGGATGTCTCCTGCAGATGCTGGGCAGTGCAAGCCCTGAGTTTCTTGGCCTGGGAATTGGTGCCAGCTCCCTCCCAGGACAGGAAGGGGCTGGGCCGGGTCCCACAGCACCAACATGTATCCCTGTCCTCCAAATCCCCTGGGGAGAGAGGTCAAACAGCTCCAAATGGACATAGTTTTATGGAAGCAGAGCCCTGCAGAGGTGGCTAGAGATGGTTGGGCTGAGGATGTTGCATGTCATTTTGCTTCCATGGCTGATGACATCAGTGCCTGGAGATGCATCGTCCCCGCTCAGTTGCAATGCCTTGTCTGGAATAAGATTTACATAGCTCATCTCCCAGCTCTAAGAGAAACATACTTGTGCACCACACTAGGTAATAACTTCCACTGGGATGGATGGGGACAGCAGTGACCCTGTGCCCCAAAAGGGACTCTTTTATGCTCAGCCGAACATGACTGTGGCCTTCAGAGGTATGGGCACTAAGTGCCTTTCAGAATTTTGCCAACTTGCTGGACTTTCTTCCAAAACCAAAGCTAGGCACCCTTGCAGGGCAAACTTGTGAAAAAGCAACCCACTGGCCAGTGTGACCAACACCCAGAAGGAAAATCAGAGCTGAAGTGGGACTAGTAAACATTTATCTATTTTTCTGGGCTTCTGACAAGTGCCAGGTGCAGGAGGTGCCTCCAGCTCCCATCCCAGGTACCAAGGCCACGCTGGCTCCAGCACACACGGGAGCTGTGGCTTTTCCCGTGGCTCAGG